TATAATTTTTCATTATATGTCGCCACTGCGATATTTGTATGTTGGCAAACATACGAGACGCAAACAAATTTAAATAAATAGACAACATGCTATTATCGGTCTTATCATTATATACTCTACCAAATAATGATTGTTCACTAAGGCGGGTTGGATAAAACTCGTGAGAATATACACCCATCAATAATAATAATTATCTGCGCTTTGTGTTTAAACTTTGATGCGAATGTAGGCCAACTATGTGTCCTATTGATTACCTATGGTCCACGTTAGTAAGCGTTAGAACGGATAACATCATTGAACTTACGACACGAGCAGTACTTTGTCGATTACGGTCGAACCTGCGCTTTAACTAAAATAACTGAAGTCGAACTTCTTCATGATTCTCGGCGTCCCCACTCGGAGACTCGCATCGTTGGCGGCGTTAGGGAAACAAATCGAGGAAATGTAAGAGCTTAAAACGCTACTGCAGAGTAAGACCTTTGAAAAACGTCGTAGGACACGAGAAGAGCGTCAGACACAGCGACTTGACGTTCATATGATTTTTTTATGCTTCTCGCACTACAGAAATCGAAGCTTACAACTTATAGTAATAGACCTGCAAATAGGCAGGCAGACTCGTTCTTCGTATCTCATCAAACTTATTTTGTATATGTACAAAGTAAAGCACGTGGAGTCCTTGGGGTACCGAAAAGTAAATAACCACGATGTATGAAATAGCAGATATATTTCCATAGCAAAGCAAGTTTGGGAGTGGTCCCACAAGCGCTACACCTGACAAATTCTGAGTTTGTGGCTAAAATTGGTGTAGTTAAGTGAGTGCGGTCCGATAGAAGTACTTTTGTAATAGGGCGGAAAATAATTTAGCATACAACTTGTCGAGTTAGAACAACGCAAAACGCTGTGACGCTTGACGAGGCAGAGATTTTTTCGACAAAAGCAATGGAACCAGCAAACATTAAAACTGGTCCAGAGCTCCATTTGCTACCCGACTTACAGACGGAATTATTAATCAGCTAAACATATAAATAAGCCTCAAAAGTCCTACCCACAATAACAGAAACACGTCAACCCATAGTGGTTGCAATAATACACCAATCCGCGCAGGACGCATAGCAGAAGTATTCAGAAATTAGTAGAGAGGGGAGATTTTTAAGGGTTACACGTATACCAGTGGGAAACTTTGGCTTGGCTTCCAAATGGTAAAAAAACTGTCGATACCATTCAAGCACGAATCTACAGTTTCTTCAAGTGCTAAAGTGACACTATGACACGGCGAGTAACAGTAAAAAACATCAGCAACTGAGCAGGGTTTGATAATCATGATCCAGATGTAAATTCACAGAGATAATACACATGTTAATTTCAATACTCGGGTGATAAAACCTACGCAGATACGCAGATAGCATAATAACAAAAATTCTTCCCCTAGAACGTGCATCGGAATGGAGATCCTTTATGGGATTAATACGATTTAACTCAGCTTCTATTGCAAAGCTCGCCCGTATGCTAAAATCACTTGATGAACTATTGGAGAAAACGAAGAAAAACGTACGTAAATTGTTTGAAGAACGCAAAGTAGTCTTCACAAAGTTTAAAGATGCTATTATCTGAGACTAAATTTTTACACAATTGGATGAAGAAAAGGTTTCAATATGCATGTTCTTGATAATGTAGTGATGCCCTTTCATCACATAAATACCCAATCGCCAATGTGAACTCGATAACTTTTCATTCACAAACGCTCTGCAAAACCAAGTATCGATACCCAGCGATATGATCGCGAGGCGCTAGCAATGAAACACAGAGTAAAGGAACTTATGGTGTATCTTTACACCGATCGTTTCAACCTGATAAGGTACATGATAGATCTTTGTTGCAGGAAAAATAATATCTACTTTAACTGCTCTCAAGCTCGTTTCTTCTTAAGCATCTTTTCTTAGATACCGTTTTCCTATTCCAAATCCAATATGGCGCCGAAGTTCATAAAACGTCAGAACTCCGTAACGTAGTATCACCGCTGAACAACGAACAGTAATTATTAACTGAGAAAAAAAAACAAGCCCATTAATATATTTTAGAAAAGGCAATTGGTGCAAATTTCGATGCCTCGGGATCCGATAAGTACAGATACCCAAATAATGACGATGCAAAGATCATATAAACATTTCTCCACTAACGCAGCGGGCAGAGTTCTATCTAAAAATATCATTGTCAGAGCTTCACGTCAGTGGTAGGGTCAACGTCAGAAAAGAATAGATGTTCCTACATTACAAGAAGAAATCATCATTCAAAGCTGGTTACTAGAGATATACCGAACACCAAAATGAGCTACGGTTAGTTCCACTAGTACCTATTTATGAAAGCGTTTTGAAATACAGAAACCAGGCAAAAAGTAGTCCGTTTTATAACTTGCACTCTATATGCGACTCACCTAAAACTTATGTTCACTAGTGGGAAGAACCAACGACGCCCTGGAGTAGACCAGGTACAGGTTATACAGGCTTATTGTCAGGCACATACCGATTTTAAATAATCAGTGCCACAAAGTCTAGGTCGGTCTTTTTTCTCGGCTTTTCATCTGACCTGACTATTATATAGAACCACTGGCAATAGAACCACTAAGTACCTGTTACAAAACATTCCTACGATTCGGGTACTCAGATTGTCAGGAAACAAAGCACAATTTACAAGTCCCACTTTAACGTGTTTCTAGCAAATCATGCAACGGCTCACAAGCTTTTTGTCTCTGATAAACCGGCCAGCAGCGGAACAGCTAAGAGGCCGATAAAACAGCAAAAAACACCACCGGGAGTTACTCAAGTATATTGCCTTGGACCTTTACAAGACACGAACCGAACACTTAAGAAGAGTGAGTAGCCTGCTGACAAAATAAACTTACTTATTATAACTACAGATTTCGTTAGTTTAGATACATGAGTCGAGTAAATGTAGTGAATGAGAAACAGAAATGCATGACCAACATCATGGTGAACTAATAAGTAACTTCAAACATACGTGAAAATAATATGAACCTTCTGTTTCTAATTAGAACTTTCTAATTATTTATCGCGCGAATGGCGAAAATTTCCTAGTTTACAAAGCTTTAGGCTTTTGTCGGAAAATACCGTAACCGAATATATCAATCACTTGCAAAAAAAGGATGCACTACACGAACAAGGTCCACGATAGCATGACCTGTTGAAAAGCAAAATTTTAATTCAGAGAAATAACCAAAGATATCTCTGAGCCTGTACAATGAACCAGCCTGACGTGTGTCTCCGAACACACCTTAGTCAAAAAGAAAAAGTCGGAGTTAAGAAAACTACAGTAAATTTGAGATGTTTTATATGTGAAAAACGTTTCTTTATTTAAATTTATTTTAAGCACTTGTGTTTTCAATGGGATTCGAACCAGCGACCCTTAGTCGAAAACTTGCCCATGTGATAAATATATGACACGTGTATAGTAAAATTTGAACGAAAATAGCCAGTCAGTATCATATTGATCTCAGTATCGCTTAGAGATCGGTTGTTTCTGCTGAATCCCGATTGAGTGTGGTACATAAAAAAAACCCGTTTGTATATGTATTTTGTACGTATTCGAGGATATAGAAACAAGACCTCTGTTGTTATGTCT